TCCTTCCTCCTTCCTTCCTCCTTCTTTCCTCCTTCCTTCCTCCTTCCTTCCTTTCTTCCTTCCTCCTTCCTTCCTTCTTTCCTCCTTCCTTCCTCCTTCCTTCCTTTCTTCCTTCCTTCCTCCCTCCCTCCCTTCCTTCCTTCTTCTTTCTTCTCTCTCTCTTTCTTTCTTATTTCCTTCCTTCCTTTTTTTTTTTTGAAGATGGAAGAGACTTGTGTTTTTCAATGTTGATGAGGAGGTGCTCATAGAAAGGGAAAGGCTGAAGACGCAATAGAGAAAGGGGATGACCTGAGAATGCTGACAGGATGAGACACGGAGCACAAATGGAGGACGCACTTGGAGACCAGAGGAGGACACCACTTACGCAGTGGCAGGAGGACAGTATAGGGACAGAGGCAGGACAGCTTGTAAAGTGATTTTGGCAGGAAGTTGAGGGAGTTCATGCTCTGCAAAGCCAAGGTCATCCGCTGAGAGGAAGAGGAGGTGGTGGAACTGGAGATGTAGGCGACACAGCAGGCACTCCGTGAGTATTTACAGAAAGAGGAATTGATGGATGGATGGTAGGATGGGTGGATGGGTGGGGCACAATAGAGAAGACTGACTTGGAAAATATAATAGGATTGCGGGGTCACGCTGGAGATTACCTCTGTGGTCTGTGGCTATCTATCTCACAGTGTCTCCAACGTACACATCCTCCTGTGAGAGTTGGAGGAGGGAGAGGTGTGGTAAAAGATGGCAGAGGAGAAATGGTGGCTGCGAGGACTGTTCCTGTTAGTTTTCTGTATGTAGTAGTCTGGGTCATAGAACCTTAAGAGCAAGAAGAGGTCTTGGGCATGATTTAGTAAAATCTTCTCATTTTACAGGGGAGGGAACCAATAACAGAAAAGTTAAATGACCTGCCTACCGTCAAAAAGATGGTCTCTAGCAGAGCTGCAACTCAAACGCTGGTCTTCTACTTTCCAGATCAGTACACGTTTTAGGAAAGTGAGATGAGAAAGTGAGATGCCACGACAAATACTTGGCGGGAGAGGAGGATCAAAGAGATGGGAGGATGCTGAAAAGAGGAGAGGTGGCACGGAAGAAGGAGCAGACAAAGCTGCCCTGGAGCGAGCCCTGCATCAACACTTATTAGCCCTCACGGGCAAGTGTCCTAACCTTTAGACCCTCAGTTTCTATGTTTGTAAACTGAGGGTAAACACACCTGCAATTCTGTTATATTAGAGACAATGGACCCAAGTCCATCTTCAGTGGTAACACGAACTTCACGACTTCACAGCGGCTGTTTCTAATCAGGTCTCAAATCCTAATCCAGTACTAAAAATGGCTCTAAAATGGCATCAAATGGAACAAAGAGTGGTGCAGTTCACTCTTTGTTCTGAGGTTTTGTTCAGAACTTGACGAGCTTTACAGAGAGCTCCCAAGAAGATGCTAGCCCACAAAAGTTTTCATTGGTCCAGGCACATGGATTCAGTCTCCCCACGGAGCAACAGTATTTGCCTCCTGCTTCAGAAAGGAAACAAAAAAGCAAGCCCACCATCAAATACACCCACAAGGGCAGATCTCCATGAAAGCCTGTCAACAAAGAGCTATGGGAGAGAGGAGCTGTGGCTGCACGCTCCAGTGAACTCCATTGAGAAAGCCACAAAGAGAAGAGCAGTGGGCACCGAGGCTCGCCAGCTCTATCTCCAGAAGGGTTTCCAGCCCTTCTCTCCTTCT